ATTTCTTGACATAAGTGTCAAGATCACCTTGATCAGCCAAGCGGTCTAGGTACCGCATGAGACTGATGCAGTCATTGGTGTGATGACCAACGTCATCATGATAAGCACAGATTTTGTCTTGGTTCCGGTTGCTTGCAGAACCCTTCATGGGGAGCGGCTTCTCAATTGAGAGCCGTCCCTTTATTTCTTTTAGGATAAACTGGTTATCCTTGTTAAACACATACTTCGGGGAGTATGGTTTGAATTCTTTTTTCTTTTTCTAAGTCGGCTGTTTAGAGGAATCAGCCGCCCAGACCTCTTTTCTTTTCTCATCTTTGTTGGAAGACTGTTTCTGTCGTCCCTCTCTTTTGTCGAACCTCTTCCCGTCCGACTGTTTCATCGTACACAGATCAGTCGCCTGTATATAGGCTTCTGCTTCAATCAGGGCCTCTTGAAGAGTCGCCACCCTTTTTCGAACTAAATCAAATTTGAAGGTAGACCCGTCTTTGAGACCTCTAAAAAAGTCAGTATAAGCTACCTCATCCGGTAACCCTTGAATCTGTATTCTCATCAGGTTGAACCGCCTGATGTAGGAACGAAGCCCCTCCTTCTCGCCCTGCTGAATTGTTCCCGAATCAAGGGTCGTTTTCTTCGCAGGGATGTTCATTGCGAAGTTGGAGGCAAATAAGTAAGCAAGCGTCCTGAAGCTGTTTACACAACCAGTCGGCAGGTTGCCGAACCATTGCTGTGCAATTCCCTTGAGAGTCGCTGGGAAACACTTGCACCAAGTGGGATCATCCAACCCTTGAAGGTACATCAGGTTGGTGAATGCCATCAGATGGTCTTCTGGGTTAGTAGTGCCGTCATAGGCGCCTACTAGAACATTTTTTACTTTGGCCGGCTGAGCGGCTTCAGTAATTTCCTTGGAGAAGGCCGACGGCTGTTCACCAAGTCTAAGCAGCCGTAGCTGCCAGTCCATAGGTTGGACGTTTTTTGCTGCAGGTCCACCAAATGGAGGTGGCTGCATAAAATACTGTTGTTGCGGCACAAATGGTAAGTTTGGTACTGCCTGGGCACTATGAAAGCCGTACTGACGGGAGGTGCCGCCTGACTGACTCTCATGGTACGACTGAGTATGCCTCATCGAGGCATTTCGCAAACTGTCCTGAAAATTTGAAGTAGAAGCCGACTCTGATAATCGGTCACTCTTCTTCTGTTCTAGCAGGAGCCGAGCATCTGTGAACGTTTGCTTTGACCCGTCCGCCTGAATATGACGAACCGGTTTCCTATTTCCCGTAGGATAACGGAGTTTTGTAAAATCAAGAGCAGGTGGCTCCCGCTTCTTGGATTTAGGATGGGGAGTCGCCTCTCGCCCTTGAACTGGCTTCCTCTTCAGTGAAGTGGAAGGTTTCTTGGCCGACTGCTCTTTGACTGAAGCAGGCGGTTTTTTGTTGATCAACTCTTGAATCTCTCCCTTGAAGTCCCTCATGAAGGTCATGAGTTCGTTCCTTGTGATGGGAGCAGACCCATCAGTCGGCTGTTGCCGAGCAAGCGGTGCGCCTGCTGGCTCGCTTCCTGTTTGAAGATGCTCCCGTTCCCTCCTTTCGGTATGGCGGGTACGTCGGGCCCTTAGGGTCCCGTCTGGAGCTGTATGAGTTTCAACTTCAAATTCACTTTCGGTATCATGGTCCGACTGAACTTGAGGGTCGTCTAGGGGACGCCTCTCTTCTGGAGTCGGTACAGACTTGGATGCCATCTCTGAAGTACTCTCCCCACAGACGGCGCCAGATGTTTCGGGGTTTTCTGATGTCCTGCGGGAGAGTTACAATTCCGAGACTGGAACCGGACGCCTGTACCTGCAAAATAACGGAGACTCCTGAGAGCTCCGCCTCCAACGGTCAAGTTAGTACCTGATTAAGGAGTAGTCAATACAGAAATTAAAGTAATGAGATCTCTCTAGGTGAGAGTGCTTAGTGTTGGTAATCTGCGTCGTTAGCGAGATTAGCCGGTTGTTGATGTTCCGTAATAACTCTGTTCTTCTCTGCTTGATTACTTTTTTTTTCACCCTTAATTAATGAGGATTAATTGAGTATTTATAGCCTTGAGAAGCGTGCCACTCTCTAGGTTTAAGGTAAACCTAGGGCTGATCGGGCCTCTAGACTGAATTGGGCCTTGATGGCCGGTTTTCCCATTTGGCATGGGTGGACACGTGGCGTGTCTCAATTGGTCCGTAGAGGACGTATCTGTGATTGACACGTGGCAGGCTCCTGTTGGCCTTCGTGAAGGACACGTGGCGGAACCTGGTTGGTCCACTCGTCAGACGGTGATTGGTGGATAAAAATCCCCTAATCAACAATGAAAAATGAAAATTATGAACAAATCTTATAACCAAAAACGGAGATCTACAAAATTAAGAAATGTATGAAGAGATAAAAAAATGTAAACGAAAATAAATTAACAAGATCAAAAGTAAATTCAATGAAATTCGAAATTCGTTAAAAATGATGATTAAACACAAAATTAAACGGGAAAAAAAAACAAAGAAGAGATTTAGATAAAATATAATTGACAATAAAAACAAATTATAAAAATAATTGATAACTCTTACCTTTGATTGCTCCCTTGAATTCTAGACCAAAAAGAGAAAGCACTAGATCTATGCGCTTGAATAGAGAGATAAGTTAGAGTAGGCTAGGCTTCAATGGAGGAATTGTATGTAGTGATTGTTTAGAAAGGGGGGACGAAAGAGAGAGAAAGAAGAGAAGAATAGAAGGTGGCGGCTAGGTATATGGGGTATAACTAGGGTTAGTCATCAAAAGGGGGCAGCCGAATGATGAGTGACATTTATGTCGCTCTCAGGGTAGTCTTTTCTACTAGTTTAGTAATAATTTGGTCCATTTTAGTATGTTTTTGCTATGATCCGCCTAGTTTGAGTATTCTACCTTTGTGATGCGTAATGTGTATTCATGTGGTTTAGGTAGTCTATACTCCCCTCCCCTTTCGTTGTATTACGCTTTGCCTTCCTGTTCCATGATTGTAGGTGTATGCCGTTGATTCAGAGATGGAAGGAACAAGGGCAAACCGAGAGAATTCCTGACCAGACAAATAGTGCGGGCGCGCCACCAGAGGAGCGAGCGCGCCACCTATATGCGCGGTCGCGCCTCCCTTGAGCGCGGGCGCACTGATGAGCTGGACCAACCATTAAATACCCACTTTGGAGCGGGCGCGCATTTCGAGGAGCGGCCGCGCCATCATTTAACGCGTGAGCGCGCCTTTGTTTGGCGCGGGTGCGCTTGTCTGCTGCGGATTCAAATCCCGAATTCAGTCCAATCAACAAAAGGGAGGAAAAACAGCTAACATGGGACAACATTCTATCATTACGATACTTTAGCATAGAAACCTTGGAGGAGAGCTTTTGAGGAATTTTTCTAGGTTATTATTTTAGCCACTTTTGTATTGAAGAATCTTGATAGTTTTTAGTGTAATTTCATTGCCCATCAACATTAGTTTTACTCCTAGTTTTTGAAGAAGTATTTTGCAACATTGATGTATGGTCAAGCTTGGAGCTTGGACGATGTATGGTTCTTTACTTGGATTTCAATGAAGGTTTTGGTATATTTCTCTATTTTCTCTTGTTTTTATGATTAAAGTTTCTACCTTTGTTAGTTTAGTTGGTAAAAACCTTGTCTTTCTTACTATTTCATTGGTTATAATGTTGCTTAGTATGATTGTAGTTGTAGTTGTGGATAGTGAGTACTTTCTTGTTGCTAGGGGTTTGGTGAAGGTATGCTATGAGTTTGATGTATGTTAGGCTAGGCTAATTTGGAATATTTGTGATTAAATCTTCCTTGTGCTTATACTTATTGGCCACTCCATGTTTATGGCCATATGCATGTTGTGGTTGAGTGACTTGAACCAAATCATGACGATAGTGTGATTTAAGAATAGTCATTAGATGATTGATTATTGCATGACCTTAGTTTGTATGCCTTATGACGATAGTGTAAGTGTATGCTAGCTAAGATAGCTCTTAATCCCGATAGGTGATTAGAGAGTATTCTTGACATTGCCTGTATGAGTTGCTTAGGTTACATGTAAACCTATTTTCCGATGCCTAACTTCGTTGAATTCATAGCATGTTTGATCCTTCCTCCTAGTGCTTGTTTTAATTGTTATTCTATCCCCTTTAGTCATTACTTTACCCACCATACTTCTTGATCGAACTAGATTAACATTAGGAGATAAATAGCGGTGCTTAATCGTTTCCCTGTGTTCGACCCTTAACTTGCCTCTATACTCGTTTAGTTGCATGTTCAGAACTACAAATATCATTTGATAGAGGTGTCTTAGTAACGACCTAAAATACCGCCTGTCACCGAATTCATTTAATATTATATGAAAATACAAGAAACCCCCTTTTATAAACAGTGGTTCCTTAAATAGTAGTAATTCTGAAGAAAAACTAAGGAGCCATTTTTCTTAAAAAGAGGTTTCTTATAATCATGTATAAGAGACCCCCTGTTCGAGAAAATAGGTTTCTTCCATTAAGAAACCCCTTATTTGATAAAAGGGGTTTCTTTTTAGTAATTCTTTTGGCCAATTTTGTAGTAGTGTATGGCGCAATGTACACGCAGCATATCAAAGAGCTCAGGCGGAAAAGCCGAACATACTCCCGCCAAGACAAATGAAGAGTTTGTCGTCACCTGTTACAAGACTTAATAGGTCTCTTTGGTCAAAAAGACCTGTTGTTACTGATTACAGGTCTCTAATGAGCTGTTTGTTGGCGGGAAAAAAACAAAGAGACCTGTTGTTAGTGTTAAGAGGTCTCTTTGTTTTTATTATTATTTGTTTAATCTTAAAATTATTTATGAGTTCTTATATACTAGTATCACGTGTACACTAGTATCAAATACTAAGAAGCATTCTACAAATATTGAGTAAAATTTTGTTAAAAATAATAAAATAAATTTTCTTTTTTGGTAAATAAAAAAATAATAAAATAAATTTTTTTTTTTGGTAAATAAAAAAAAAAATTAATTTAAAGACTACTAACTTCCTTTTTTTTGAGGAAATGTGTACTACGCTACTACTAATTATATTAGACTAACACTTAACAAAAAAAAAAAAAATTAAAGTAAGAGTTAAAAGGAGGTGGAGAGTAGTAGCACTGTAGCATAGCAGTTTCGTCTTCCTCCTCCAAAAAAACCCAAACCCTTGAACTTCCATGGTTTCCCTCCCAAGTTTTTCACCATCATCCACTTTGTAAGGCCGCCACCGTCCACTTTGTAAGGCCGCCACCGTCGTCTAGTTTACAAGGCCGCCACCATCTAAAGCGTACTCGGGTCACGACTATCAACCACTTTGTTTCAGGCGATTGTACAAAGGTAAGCCGTTCGCATTCCGGGCCACGTCCCCCAACCACAAATTCGTTCTTCTTTCATTGTTCACTATTAATTATTATTAAAGATTGTTTAATTTCCAGCCATAACACAAGCAATTGCACTACTTTACATTTGATCGATTTCCCGCCACAACCAGAATATTGTTATTCTTTTTAAGGTATTTTTCATTCCTGTTCCTTACCCAGTCAAATAAGCATGCTTCTTATATGTGAATATACTTGGCCTCTGGCTAGATTGAATTTATAGCATTCGTGATTCGTGAACTTCTGTATTTAAGTTGTGCAACATCACCGATTAGCCAATTGTTATCGTAATAATTTGTTCTGCCTTGTTTATAGTTGTACAATGACAATTACGCTAATGAGGCTATTGGGTGATCATTTTGTAATATCAGATAGCGTAGTAAATGAGTTGAGGAAATTGGATACTTATTAGAAGTTCCATTTTTCTTTGTGTTTGGTGCTTCTTCTGGTTAACAATAAATTTTGGCGGCTTTTGTCCTCATTTGTTTGCCCCATAGTTATATTTTGATTGTGTGGAGTTGATGACAAGGAAAAATGGTGATTCTAAATATTTAATATACGTTGTAATATTTGAGTAAAGTTGTGGTTCCTCGTGTATATGTATGATATGGGACAATCTTTTAGGGATACTCTAAAAAAGATAATGTGGCAAAATTTAAGGGACAAAGAGTTGTTTGATTCAAGTGTTGAAGAGTAAGAAGCTCAACTCAAAAATTGAAACTGGCCCCAAGTCGAAACACTAGGTTATGATCAGCATTTGTGACTTTTTTTTTTCTTAAACTCGATAATCTTTGTTGCCATGGGTTATAGTATTAAAATTTTGTCTTGCTTTTAAAGTCTATTGTACTGTAAATTGATTTAATGTTTCTTTTTATTATTCTCTAATTGAATACAATGTTCTGAATTAATATGATATTTAAATTCAGATGATTCATGTTTAGTTTGTAGCCTTAAAAATTCTGCTTGCATATGTGGTGGCTGCTTGGGTTATGGTTTCAAATTTTATTTTCCCGTGAAAAGTATGGTTTTGTCGTTTTTCGGTTGATAAAAATATTTTGTCTAATCTAGTAAATATTTGTTGTATTCTCTAATTTAATATCTTGTCACCCCCTTCGCTATAATCAAGACTTACATGTACATATATGTGAAGACATTATCGCTTTCGAAAATATTATGATTATTATAAAGTCTTGAATTGCTATTGGTGCATATAAAATGGATCGAATTTGGATATCAACAAAAAAACCGGGTGATCCAGAATATCAAGCAGGTGTTAGAGAGTTCATTAATTTTGCAGTTACTAATAGTGGTGGTCGTCCCAAGCTACCATGTCCTTGTTATATGTGCCACAATTTGCTACATAAGAGGTCGGACGAAATACTTAATCACTTGAGTAAGTGGGCATTTGATAGAACATATACCAATTGGATTTGGCATGGAGAATGAAGGGAAAAACCTCTTGTTAGTAATATAGCGGGTAGTGTATGTGAAGGTGATAGCACAAATGAGGCAGATAATTTAGAAGATTTGTTGCATTCAGTGAAGGATAACTTTGATGATAATCCTACCATGTTAGAGAGCATTTTAAATGACTCTGAAAAGCCTTTGTATGACGGTTGCACTAAGTATACTAGATTGTCTGCTGTAATCAAGTTATACAACTTGAAAGCAGGTCATGGTTGGATTGATACATGCTTCAGCATGCTACTAGAAGTTGTCAAAGACATGCTTCTAGAAGACAATGTCCTTCCATCTACTACTTATGAGGCAAAAAAGAGTTTAAGCTCTATGGGTTTACCTTACGAGAAAATCCATGCGCGTCCTAACAATTGCATGTTGTATAAAAATGAAAATGAATCTTTACAGAGCTGCTCAATTTGTAAAGCTTCGCGGTATAAGAAAAGTGATGGCATAGTCCCTGCCAAGGTATTATGGTATTTTCCAATAATACCATGGCGTAGGCGGTTGTTCTCAAATGCAGGGGATGCAGAGAAATTAACATGGCATCATTATGGTCGATTAGATGATGGAATGCTTAGACACCCCATCGATTCTCCGCAGTGGAGGTTTATTGATGGAAAATACCCGGACTTTGCAAAAGAGAAGCGTAATCTAAGGCTTGCATCGTCTACAGATGGGTTCAATCCATTTAGGAACTTGAGTAGCACATATAGTACATGGCCCGTCATATTGGCTACTTATAACTTACCTCCTTCGTTGTGCATGAAACCACGATATATGTTTTTAGCATTGCTAATTTCTGGGCCTAAACAACCTGGAAGTGACATTGATGTGTATTTGGAACCTCTCATTGATGATTTGAATATTCTTTGGGAGGATGGTGTACAGGTGTTTGACGCACATCGTAACGAGAACTTTATCATGAAAGCAATGTTGTTTAACACCATCCAAGATTTTCCTGCTTACGGTAATCTTTCTGGGTATACCGTGAAAGGAAAAGCACCTTGTCCCATAGGCATGGAGGATTGCGGGGGAGAATGGTTGAGCGCATCACGCAAGCATGTGTTCCCTATACATCGGCAATATCTTCCTTTGAGTCATCCATTTCGTAAGAGGAAAAAGGCCTTCAATGGGAAATAAGATTTTAAAGGTCGCCCAAGAGTTCTGTCAAGTGAAGAGGTCTTTGAAAAGGTTAAAGACATTCAAATTACCTATGGGAAAAAGCATAGGTCTGCTTTTCCTACGCAAGGCTTTAAGAAGTGTTCATATTTATGGGGCCTACCTTATTGGAGATTCCTTTTTGTGAGACATTCGCTTGACGTGATGCATATTGAAAAGAATGTGTGTGATAGTTTGATTGGTACTTTATTGAATATTCATGGGAAGACTAAAGATGGCACGAAAGCTAGAGATGACTTACAAACCATGGGGATTAGAAGTGAACTCCATGCTGTTGTGAATGACAAAGGTCGAGCATACCTCCCTCCAGCAGCTTATACATTGTCAAGAAAAGAGAAAATTGAATTTTGTGAGAGCTTGGCTAGAGTAAAAGTGCCAGAGGGTTATTCTTCAAATATTCGCAACTTTGTGAATATAGAAAACTTGAAACTTGCGGGCCTTAAATCTCATGATTGCCATGTTCTAATGCAACATCTTTTACCAGTGGCTATTCGTTCAATTTTGCCTAAAAATGTTCGTTTTGCCATAACCAGACTTTGTTTATTTTTTAATGCAATTTATAGCAAGGTCTTTGATCCTAAAGAGTTGACTGCATTGGAAGATGGAATTGTTGTAACTTTGTGCCAGTTAGAAATGTACTTTCCACCATCGTTTTTTGATGTCATGATTCATTTACCAGTTCACTTGGTTAGAGAGGTGAGATTTTGTGGTCCTGTGTACTTGAGAAATAAGTGGCCTTTTGAAAGGCAAATGAAAACATATGGCGGTTATGTCAAGAACGCTTTTCACCCTGAAGGTTGTATCGCTGAACGAATTTTTTATGAAGAAGTTCTTGCATATACTAGTGAATTTATATCAAATTCTATGAAGATAGGGCTTCCCGTTTCTCGACATATGGGAAGAATGGGTGGTCAGGGGACCCTAGGCCGTAAACAACTTGACATGTCTTATGACGATTGGCACAAGGCCCATTCGTACATTCTTCACAATGAGGATGAGTAATGCCATATATTCAAAAACACATGAGAGACTTGAGGAAATACAATAGAAGAGCAAATGAGAAATCAATAGCTGATGAACACAATAGATCATTCATTAGGTGGTTCAAGGATCAAGTTTTGAGGGAGCTTCAGGATTCTCCGAGTTCTATTTCTGATTGACTTAAGAGTTTGGCATATGGACCTAATTTCAACGCTACTTACTATTCAGGTTATGTTATCAATGGTTTCACATTTTACACAAGGCTGCAAGATGAAAATAGTACTATGCAAAATAGAGGGGTTACTGTAGAGGCTGAAGCTATTCATTTTGTTAGTGCAAAAGACAAGCATCCCGTTTCTGGCACAATGCGATGCAATACTATGGATTTATTGAAGAGATTTGTGAGTTGCATTACTCCAACTTTTCAATACCAGTTTTCAAATGTCAATGGGTTGATAATAACAACGGGGTTGATCATAGTAGCCTTGGAATGACTTTTGTTAACCTTAATAAGATTGGTCACAAGGAAGATCCTTTCATTTTATCTAGTCAAGCTAAACAAGTGTTTTATATGACTGATCCATTAAATAAGAGAATGTCAGTTGTTATAACACCCAGACCACGACAGGCCATAGATGATTGGGGCGATGATAGTGTTTTGGAAGGTAGTTCTTTGCTGGGAAAGGGACTAGTTGATGATGATGTTGCTGATGATTCTTCGATCTACGCAAGAGATGACCACAATGAAGGTTTATGGGAAGATGATGATAACAATAATAAAGTGAAGCGAAAGCGAAAGAGAAAGCGTAGTCGTAAAAACTCTTAAGGGGTTCAAGGTGAATTTTGCTTTTATATATCTACTTTTATTACAAAGAGAATGTTTGCTCTTAAATGCTAATAACTTTGAATTTATTAGGGTTATGCATGCTTCTACAGATCATATACTCTCACGTACCATGCTAGCTATCTTTTACTCAAGTATTTTAATAATGTGTCGTGTTCTTTTATATAACTAACAAAGTGAATTTAACTTATAAATTTAATGTAGGTACATGGCCAAAAAGAAAAAGAAAGTACAACCGAATGATGATTCCGAAGAGTCAAGTTGTGAGGAGAGGTCGTACTATACTTAAAAAGGTGGGGAAGACTATCCATGCTGGCACCCAAATCCCATTACAATGGAATCCAAGTAAAAGAGTTCCCACTGGTGAACACAAGACCCATTTTTCCACCTACATTGGTGTAATGGCACGTGAAAGAATAAGCATTGCCTACAAAGATTGGCATGAAGTTCCAACAGGAGTGTTAGATGAAGTTTATGGATTTATCTCGGTAAGATATACTAATCATGTATTAGAATGGCAAGATCATTTTAAATTTAAGTTTTTCTTTTTTTTGTACTAACTTATAAATTTGTTTTGTTTGAACATAGAAGGGGTTTTATGTTCCTGAGAATTGCAAAGGTTATGTACTAACACGAGCATCGATTCGATGGAAAGCTTTCAAGACTAGATTAAGAACCAAGTGGCTATATAAAAGAGTTAAAACACTTCGTCAAAAGCCACCACACAAGTATCATTTTATATGTGAATCGGATTGGGATACCTTTGTTCAAATCTGCACTTCTGATGAATTTAAGGTATACTTTGATTTATTGCATCATCTAAACAATAATGTGAATATATATGTACAAGTAAACAGTTTTATCAATTGACTTTGAGCTTTAAAAATATGTAGGAATTGAGTGAAAAGAATCGTGAAAAGGCAAAGAAGAAGTCCTCAAGTTATCGTGGCGGTAGACTTGGGTACCAATATTTTGAAGAGGAGATTGTAAGTGTTAATTACATGATGTTTACTTACTATGATTTTGCACAATTTTAATAATATTAACTAAATATTCAAAATTGGTTTTCTGTACTATTAGGTAAAACAACTTGAAAAGCAAGGAGTCCATGTGTCACAAGTGCCGCAGCATCTAACTTGGATTAAAGCTCATTCTCATGTCAAAGATGGAGTTATAACATTTGACAATCTTGCTGATAAGGAAATCCATGATGCAATAGTAAGATAGTATATTTAATCTTTTTAAATGTTTCACTTTTCAAGCATTTAAAAATTTTCTTTTCATAATAATAATCTTTGCAAATACTTTTATTAAACTTGATCTTTTGTATGTTTTTCAGATAGCATTAGAGGGTCAAGTTCAAAGAGGTGAAATCATTGTTAAGGGTCGAGATGATATCTTAGCAAAAGCAATGCATAAGAGTGAGCATGGTGGTTTAGTGAGAGGTGTTGGTTCAGGCATTACAGTGAAGGATTATTTTGGTTATAACAAACTTGCTCCACCCAGCCAATTGCATGCTGAAATAGGCATGATGAAATCGAAACTTGTCTCCATGGATAACAGATAAAATTTTATGATGTCCTTCTTGATGTCATGCTGCAGCCAAGAGCAAATAAAATCTTTCATGGCTGTTGGAGGTCAACAGGTTGGTTTAGGTGGATTTTTTGGTTGGGACAATACTTCTAGTAGTTTAGATGCTGGGTTTGGTGGCCTGACAGGTGGATCAGGTGGGTTACGTGGGTTTGGTGGCCTGACAGGTGGGTTTAGTGGCTTGACAGGTAGCTTAGCTGGTGGGTCTGTTAGCTTGGGTGGTGGGTCTAGTGGCCTGGGTGTTAGCCTAACAGGTGGGTTTGGTGGCCTGGAGGGTGGGTCTGGTGGTCTAGCAAGTGGGTCTGGTGGCCTACAGGGTGGCCAGGCTAATGGGTCTCTTGGCCTGGCTAATGGGTCTGGTGGCCTGGAGGGTGGGTCTAGTGGCTTGACAGGTAGCTTAGCTGGTGGGTCTGTTAGCTTGGGTGGTGGGTCTAGTGGCCTGGGTGTTAGCCTAACAGGTGGGTTTGGTGGCTTGGCAGGTGGGTCTAGTGGCCTAGAGGGTGGCCAGGCTAATGGGTCTCTTAGCCTGGCTGGTGGGTCTGGTGGCCTGGAGGGTGGGTCTAGTGGTCTGGCAGGTGGGTCACGTGCTCCCCAATTGGATGATACTTTTGGTCAGGGGCTTCAAGGTATCCCTCTAACTCAACTGTTAACAGGCAAAATTTTCGAGCAAGGGAGCAAAGGGCATGGGTTTACCCCTGATTCATTAGGGGAGGCAGATATTTATGGTACACAAGGTAATGGGAAAGAAGATAATTGCACAAAAACGCAATCTCATACTGAAAACCTAGAGACTGAGGCATATCATGTTCCCTGGCCTCAAACATATCGTAACAATCAACTTGAGCCTACAACTAACCTTGCGAATCAGAGTTGTGATTTGAAAGAATTTCCCGAGGTATGCCTTTTCATTCTAATTAAGTCCTCATGACTGAATTGTTTAAACCAATACAGAGGAAATGAACTCAATATGTATAAAATGGTGATTAGTTGCAAAAATTTAAACGTTATAGTCCTGTAAGTTTTGCCTTTTGATAAAAATGGGTGTATTTATGTTCAGGGGTGGAGTGATTGTTGTTTAGAAATCGAAGGAAACAACAAAGAGTTGCAAATTGTTGCTAACGGACAGGTAGAGAAAACAACAGATGTCAGAGCTACTCATTCTAGATTAATTCCACCTGGTCATGCTCGAGTCACAATTACAGAAGATATTGTGCCAACTGCTCTCTTGCCATGTCCTAATGAGGAACTAGTTTATGTTTGTCATGCAAAGAAAAGCTACACACCTTGGCCGATTACCTTGATTTTTCCGAGAAAGGTATGAAATTTAATAACTGGTACATGTTTGCAGTGTAATATTATTCAGCATGTGTTATCAACGGGGCACTTTGTTATGTATGCAAATTCTTTAAAAAATTTCAGCTTAATCCATCCAGATATCTAGTAGGAAATGTTAGAACATATATAGTACTTAAAAATTTATTTTCTAAATTCATTCATCAAAAGCAAGCAATGACTTAGGCACTAACCATCATGCCACGAATATTCTAGACCTTTATTTACTTTATTTTATGGTGAAAATGAAAAGATGTGTTATTAGCACTTGTTTCGTGTATTTAATATGATGATGCTATTTGTATGCAGACATGCATCATTTGTATATTGACTTGTATAATACAAGTAATCACTAGTGCATTTTCCTTATATATATACTATAATGATGTTATAATGTTTCTTATTCATCACGCTACAGACCATTACCCACTCAGAAAAAGTGTTAAATGTAACAACACCATCTCCACATTTAGCATCATCTCAAGTATGCACAACTCCTAAGTACGTTATCACCGAAAAGGATCGTGAGATGGTGACTTCCACGTGGTTACGTATGTTAAATACTCATGCTATGGTATTGAAAAAAAGGGGTGTGACACTCTCTATACCAATACCAAAATGCATGTTTCTTAATGAAGATGTGGGTGTGACGCTTGACTACGAGGACTTGTTGGATTGGTGTTTTAAAAGAGAGGTTGGAGAATCCCAAATGAACATTTTCATAAAGTGAGTGTTTTTTTTACCAATTACCCCTTTAGTCTTGAATGTATTTGTGTATTAACTTCAACGTATACAACTTTTGATGGGGTAAGGTACTTGAAAGGTCATTGTCAGAATGAAGGTGTCTCGGGTATGTACGGATTCTGTGACACAAATGTTTTATCTCCAATGACACCAACTATAGATGAGGAGGTTCGATCCGACTATCTAGCTCGTGTTTTTGGATACAACGAGGGAAAGAATGTCAATCAACTCTTCTTTGCTCCTTATAATGATAAGTAAGTGTACGTAGTAGTTAGTTAGAGTATGTTCGTCGTTTTCCTCAAAGGCAATGGCCTGGCTTTGCATCCAAGTATTGGTTGGTTAATTTTGCTTCTTTGACCTTTTCATTGGTCGTATACAGTAGCTGATGTCATCAGTTTTTGTAAAGATGTTTGGTAAATTCAGGCATTGTTTGGGTAGTTTGATGATGCTTTGATGCTAAAAGGTCAATTGCAGAACTATTTTCCTATTATATACTTGCTGCTTGACCTCGTTAATGGATTTAAAACTAAGCAAAAAGGCTGGAAATAATTAATGTACCAAGTAAGGTCAATGATGATCAACTGTATAGCTTGATGTTTAGATGTTGTCACTGCAATGCTCATTCCCGCTGTGATAAGGTGTTAACTGGTTTAAATTCTGGTTTGTTGCCTAACTTTCATCTAGGAATATGTAGTTTTCAGAAATTTGTTCGTCGTAAATCTCATGCTTTGTATCCAGGCTTCTGAGTTCTGACCAAGGCTTTTTATGTTTTCTTGTATTGTTCTTCTGAGTTCTGACCAAGCCTAAATGCCTAATGCAAACCGTTATCTGAGTTTAGGGACTGTGATACAAACATATACATAAATCTTCAGGCGTCATTATGAAATTATCTCTCTGTTTAGATATAGTTGTCATGTTGTCCAATCCTATCATGATGCCCTAATGTAAAGCAGAATGTGAAATTTCAATCATCTATACATGGTACAAAGAGACCCCCGATGCCCTAATGTAAAGTAGAAGCTACTTTTTTTTAACAAATTGTGCTTTGCCTAGAGCCTTAGCTTCTTAAAAATTTGATTGGTTATTCTATACAATTACTATTCAATATTCACCATTGATTTTTGCTAATATAATCACTATCATTGTGTGTAGTATGCATTGGAGGTTAGCTGTTATTAGTCCTTGGAATGGACTAGTGTGCTAGTTAGATCCGGCCGGGGAAGAAAACGAGATCAATGAGTTTGCTAAAAAGATCATAAATGAGTACGTGTTAGAGTAATTATCGAACATATCTGTTTTTTTTTGTATTATATATGCTCTATTATTAATTATTCATTTCATTATTTTTGTCAAACAATGTCACAATTCTATAGGGGATTAAAAAAATTCAACATGGTCCATCGAAAGGACATTAAGAAGATAAAAAAGGATCCATATATTGAGTGGAAGCAACCTAAGGTATGTCATTTTAGTTTATACTCTTGATATTAAAAGAATAATGTGTTATTTAAATGCTTGTGTATAATGCCAAATTTTCATGCATTTAAAATTTGAATGTCTTTTTTAACAGTGTCCTCGACAACCTCAATACTCCAAGGTTTGTGGATACTATGTTTGTCGCTATATGCTTGAGATTATACAGAAAAGGGTATTGTGGGTTTCTGATAAGGTATGTTTAATCTGATTTATGCATTGTTTTTTGATGCGAATTTATGTAGATACTCTTGATCATTACCTTGTTGTCCAAGTATCTTGAATATAGGAAAAAACAATTATGTCTCTTGACTTATTTCGAGCTTCTAAATATGCAAGCTTGTGTTCTTTTTCTTTTTTCTTTTTTTTTTTTTGGTAAGTAAGCAATTTTATTTATACCAAAGAGAAGAGGGCAAGCCTTCAAGATTACAATGGCTAAATAGCCCAAAAAACGCACAAAAACACATGGCACACCCAATCCTACCCAACTGCCTATACACAAAAAGCCGAGAACAACAATGGGCCAAAAGCACAACAACCCCAAAGAAAAACTAACAAACAACATAACAGTACCAAACAAGAGCTCTACCCCACACAAAAACACGCCCAAGGGAAGCAAAAGCCTCAGGCAACCAGAACAAAACACGCTGAAACCAGAAAGGGCAGCAACCAAACACAGCAGAAACCACAACAAATCAGGCACACCACGAGCCTAAATTGTCAGAAAACTGAAAAACCAGAAGCAAAGAAAAAGCCTCCAACAGCCCTACCAACACCAGATCACAGCACACAACAAGCAAGCCTAAAACACGCTGCTAACAGGACATTCTGCTGAAATAGCGACCCATACAGAGAGTAGCAGCAGACTCCATCTCTTTCTTTCCCATACAGGACAATATTGTCATCAACATGTTGGAGCTCTTCAGCATTGCTACAGCAGCTACCAGCATCTTCAGCCCACCTTAAACAGCCCCTTTTCTAGTTCTATCTTCTATCCTCCCCCTTCGAATTAATCCCACCAGCCTGCACACCATTAGGTTTGCCTTGATCCCTAGTAGCTGACCCAGAAGGATGCTGAAACTTCCTGCCAGGAACATCTACTTTCTTGCCAGCAAGTTGCACCGGTCTCCACCTTTTCCTAGCCATGGATTCAGTAGGCTGCTTCCAACCCTTTTTCTTAGGACAGAAGTTCACCATATGTCCCATGTCCATACAAAAGGATCATGTGACAGGCTTCCACTCAAAAAATATTTTCTGTTTCACACTTTCACCATTTTCATCAAGAAATTCAATATGTTCGTACAACTGCTGCTTTGCAGGGAAAATTTACCCCCAAATGGCTCATTTTAATCATGACATTGCATATTTTAACTCATCATTATATTCATTTGTTTGTATGTGTTATTTTTTTGTAATATAGTTATAATATAGCATTATCTTCCATTATTATATATTATGAATGAGTTATGACTATATACGGCGATTTATTGTTTATCTTGCAGCTTTTTAAAGCGGACCCCTGTACATATTCAACTGAAAATATTGACGAAATTAGAGACTTGTGGGCTAAGTATGTTCTAGAGCTTGAACAAGATGATGTTAATGAAGGAAATGAAGATGGTATAGACATTGCGTGAGTTTAGTTTGTCCATTACTTTTGGGAAAAGTATTGCGATTTTTAGAATTTTTTGTATAGTACTTTTGGAGCTTATCTTAGATGGCATGGAAATTAAATGAGTGGTTTAAATTTTTGGGGAATACTGGATTTTTTTTTGCAAATGTTGCTGTATAGTATTTTTGGAGGTTATACTATAATTAATGGATATATGTAAAAGTGTTTATCAACTTTTGTTTATTATTGTATGTTCCATGAATATTATAAAATTATGGAGTAATGTATATGATGTGCATATATATAGCAGGTGAAAAATATAGGTACAAATATCCTACAGGTGCCATACAGGAACAAATACTGCTCATATACCGTACAGGAACAAATACAAATATAATTGGACTTTGGGAAAAAAAATTAAAAAAAAAAAAAACAAAGAGACCTGTTATCGTTACTAACAGGTCTCTTAAATAACAACTATGAGACCTGTTGGCCATGGTAACAGGTCTCTTTGCTTTCTGAAATATATAAAATAATCACGCGCAAAGAGACCTGTTGTCTCACTTCTTAGGTCTCTTATTAATACCAAAGAGACCTGTTCTATTGACCAGGTCTCTTAACCAAAGAGACCTGTGAGCTAGAGACCTCCAAAGAAGAGGTCTCTTATGCCTATTTTAACAGGTCTCTAAGGCATATTTTGTAGTAGTGGCTTATCTATTCATGTTGGAGCAGACGTAAAATTTTAATAAGTCTGTTTGTACATTGCATAGACGATATTTATGGAGAAAGAAATAAATATGATTGAAAATAAAGAACAACCTTTAATTGATAAACTTCATTTAATAAATTTTTGAAGTCTTAGAAGTAGTACTTGTTTAAGTTGTCTACATTCCAAGTTCTGGCTGGTTGTTTATCGTCTGGGGTTTCCAGGCGGTAGGTGCCACCTCTTACTTCTTCATAGATCCGGTAGGGGCCTTCCCAATTGGGAGTTAACTTTCCTTGCTCATTTTCCCTATTGGTTGCCTCCATTTTCCTTAACACAAAGTCCCCTACTTTTAAGGGCTGTTTGTGTACTCTTTTGTTGTAGGCTCTTGTCATTCTCAAACGATAAAATCTCATGATGCAAGGAGGCATTGCCCCTGCGCTTCGGGAGTGAGTCCAATGCTAGCCGCATGGCCTCCTAGTTAGTCTCTTCGTCATAAAGCATGACTCGAAGAGTCAGTTCATAGTGCTCAATAGGCAAGACGGCTTTGCGCCGTATGTCATAAGAAATTTGGTTTCACCGGTTGCCCCTTTTTCAGTTGTTCTGATGGCCCATAGGACATGAGGCAACTCATCTGCCCAATGCTTTCAATTTTCTTCTTAATGCCGTCTGAGATAAGCTTGTTGAAGTCTTCAAACTGGTCGTTTGCTTGGGGATGGCCGACTGATGCAAAGCAATGTGAAATTCCTTGATCTCCCAACTAATTCTTGAGGGTAGGCGTCTTAAACTGAGGGCCATTGTCAAAGACCATGGACATAGGTACCCCAAACCGGGTGATGATATTCCTCTAGATGAAAGAGATGACATCTTTTGTCTTAATGCCTTTGACCGCCCTTGCTTCTACCATTTGGTGAAGTAGTCAACAACAACTAGAATATATCGCCGTCCGCCTGTAGCAGGCGTATATGGACCCAGAATGTCCATGCCCCATTTGGCAAATGGTAGTAGGCTATGAATGTCCGTTAGGTCAGTGGGCAGACGGTGTATGAGTTTGCCGAATCTTTGACACTTGTCACATTTCTTCACCATTTCCATGGCGTCTGCCTCAAGAGTGGGCCAAAAATAGCCTTACCGCCTGACCCTTTTTGATAGAGACCTGCCGCCTATGTGTGATGCACATAAACCCGAGTGCAGATCCTCTAGAACCTCTTTCCCCCTTTCTGGGGTGATACATTTCAATAACGGCTGCAGATAACCCTTCTTGAAAAATTCTCCATTATGAATCTCAAAGTTTGCAGCTCGCTTTTTCATTGCAACCGCTTTTGGGTATGCATCCAGTAAAGTGTCGTCTGCTAGATAAGCCCGAATGCCATCCATCCAGGTTGAGCTTCGGTCCAGAATTCCAATGGGATCTGTGTTAATACTTATTTTTTCCATAACTTCCCAAAAGACTGACCTAGGCGTATTATATGAGGTGGATGACGCCAATTTTGAAGAGCATCCGCCTGATTGTTTTCTGATCTGGGCACTTGACTTAGATGAAATTCTTCAAGTGACCCAGCCTCTTCTCTAAGCGCCTGCAAATACTTGATCATGGCCGGATGGGTGGCCTCATAGTCACCATGGTATTGGCCAACGATTAATTATAAATCAGAGCAGGCGTCAACTTTTCTTGTCCCTGCCGCCTTACACATGCGGATACCGGCTAGCAGGGCTTCATATTCTGCCTCATTATTTGAGGTCTGGAACTTAAATCGTAGTGCATATGCATACTTATCCCCTTCAGGATACTGACATGTAACGCCTGCATCACAGCCGTTAATAGTAGAGCTCCCGTCTACGTATACTTTCCAAACCTGGTCAAGATTTTTCGGCTCACCCGGCCTTGTCATTTCGACAATGAAGTCGGCGAACGCCTGACCCTTCACTGTCTTCCTTGGTTTGAAAGATATTTCAAGGCTTTGAATTTCAATAGCCCATTTGATCATTAGATGGATGAATCCATAAATGTCATTGGCCTTTTAAGGGGTTGATTTGTGTAGATCACAACCGGATGTGCCAAGAAGTAAGGCTTCAACTTCTTGACTGCCAAATCAATTATCATCCCTAACCCTAGCTAGGAAACTATACTAACATGACTAAATCAACAAGACAATGAAACTAACACAAACTAAACTAAAATGAACAACTAACATTAACCAATAAAGAAGAACAACGAAGAAACTAAGAACAAGAACAATGAAGAACAAGGGAAAAACAACAAAGAGGAACTATTGAAATAATCAACTACTCTAAACATTCAATAAACTAAAGAAAGCAATAAGTAAAGAAAGCAATAAAATTGAGATAAAGTTTAGAATGCTCATTGAAGTATTGAAAAGGAATCCAAAACAATGTCACATTTTGCATCTTCAACCTCCTCAATCCACCATTGAAGCTCTTCACTTTCTCTCTCTAAGCTACTCTTAAACTAAATTACAAAACAAAGATTAAAACTAAATCTAAGCCCTAATCTAAGTGGTGAAATGATGGAGAAAGCAAAGGGGTTTCATCCCCTCAAAGAGGAGAGAAGACCCCAAAAACTCCCCCCCAAGTCTAAAGAAGGTCATGTTATTTAAATTACAAGAAGAGAAAGAAGAAAATCCGTTGAAAAAGACCCAGAAAGCCGCGCCCGCGGTAACTGCGCATCCTTTCAGTGTCGTGCAGATTCAAACGTCCATAACTTCTGTTCTAGAAGGCTTCTTGGAGCTTTCTACCTACTGTTGGAAAGCCTTTCAATTCTAGTTTCCAACACAGTTTGAATCGCTTCAATCCGATGTGTAGATCAAAAGTTATGGCCGAATGAGTAAGACAGGGTCTGTCTGCTGCTAAGTTACGGATTTTCACTATCTCCTTCGCCGCGCCCGTGGGTTTTTGGGCTGCGCCCGCGGACCTTCTGGCCGCGCCCTCTCATGGCCCTCTCCAAGGCTTCTCTAGAAAACTTGGGGAGGTCTTTTGAGGCCTAGAGAGCCCTTTTAAAGGCCTCTTACATGGCTCCATAGCGCTTGAGTTCTCGAGGCTCATGAACGGCTTCCCGAACTTCCCTCTTCTCTCGACTTCCACCTTTTCGGCCTACAAAACATAAGAAATATCCCAATAGTACAAATAGGCAAATAAGCGGGGCTTACGAAGGAATTAGCGTAATGATTGGAAAAACGGGGAAAATCGAGGCGAAATAGGCTTAAACAAGCGACAAGCGTAGGGAAACGACATGGAATTGAGGCCTAAATAGTGGCATAAAAGCCACTTATCATCGTCTTTGCATGTGAAATGTCATCGTTGATCAATTTGGCTTCACTTGCATATTTTTGGTTGCTTCCTGCATTAGTTTAACCTTTATTGGTTTATTCTTATGTTTAGAAACTCTTGGATAAGTTCATTTCAAGATTGAAGAAATATAAAACATCAAACTAACAAGTAATGAGAAATGTGCACTTAATTTGCAAAGATCAAACTTTAAATGCCAATATCTTTTGGTCTACAAAATATTTCTGAGTGATTCTAATTGGAGATGAAAGCTTATCCCAAGAGCTTTCCAACGACTGGTCACATGCCTTATTTTGACGAGTAACGAAGAAGTTATAGCCTTCCGAAATGAAACTGCTTCTAACAGGAAAATCTGCACGTCCGTGCTAAATGTTGCACGCCCGTGCTAATTGCGGCACGTCCGTGCAGGCCTGTGCTCCGGTTTTCTGAAGTATCTGCTCAAAATGCACGTCCGTGCCAACTTTGGCACGTCTGTGCAGACCTGTATCCGGGTCTTTTTCCTTGTTATCTCTGTCCTTTCTATTTGGGGTTGTATAAATACCCCTTGGCTTCATTTGTAAAGAGGAGATATTCCATTCTTAAATTTTAGTAGTTTAGGGTTTTAGAGAGAGAAACTCTCAAATTTTAGAGAGAGAAAGTGAGAAAAAACAATGGTTTTCATGGATTTTGGATAATCAAAGGAGGAATTCGATGATTTGAAGATCTCTATTTTATATCAATGAGCATTTCTTACTCTTTCTTCTCTTTATGCTTTATTTAATTGCTTTCATCATGTTTGAGTAGTTTCCCTTCTACTAGGTGTTGAGTTAAGCTTTGTAATGATTAATTGAGTTATTTGAGATAAATTTGATGATAATTGTGTGATTAACTTGATTGAATTGATGATGGCATGTTGTTTGTTTTAGATTGGATTGATCTCCCATGATAGCAAACTTAATTGCATATTGGTTCTAGTTTGACAAGGGATTGTGAATTAGAATTGATATATTTGATTGCATTTTGGGTAAATTTCTTCTATGTAACTAGTCAATGAGGGATCTAGGCTAGGAATTTGAGAGATTACTTTTGAGTGTAGTTCATTCCCATTTTAATTCTTTCTTTGCATGATTGATTACCAAATGGATACTCATTTGCTTACTAATTGTTCAAAGTGGATCTTTTCCCCTAGTAAATTTTATCATACCTTGTTCTTTATATGTGTTTTAGTGTAGTAGTAGTGTCCTCTATCCATAAA